AAAAAAAGATGGAAGGAGTACACAGTCATTATACCAAAAAGAGTTGGCTGACACAGAAAAATTTAATGAAACAATATATGATCAAAAGCCAATGGTGATGAAGGTGGAAGTTCAAGCTGCTCTGAAGGAATTGGCAAAAAACAAGGCCCCAAGAACTGACAGCATACCAACTGACATATCTCAACAAACAGATGCTTCCCTGGACATGCTTACCAGGCTGTGCTAAGCAATGGAAGACAACTTCCTGGCTGATTGGAAGAGATCCATATTTATGTCCATTCCCATAAAAGGTTATCCAACAAGAGGTGGGAATTAGTAAACAATATCATTAATATTACATGCAAACAGATCTTGTTGAAGATTAGCCAAAAACAACAGGAACAGTACATCAACAGAGAATTGCCAGATGTGCACACTGGGTTTAGTAGAGCCCAGTGCACTAGAGAAATTATAGTGAATGTTAAATGGCTCTTACCTGAAAGCAGGGAGTGCCAGAGGAATGTCTATCTGTGTTTCATTGACTATGTAAAGGCATTTCACTGTGTTGATCACAACAAACTTGTGGCTGACCTTGAGAAAAGTGGGAATTCCAGAACACATTATTGTGCTTATATGAAACCTATACTTGAATCAGGAGGCAGTTGTCAGATGAGAGCAAGGAAACACTGCATGGTTCAAAATTAGGAAAGCTGTACACCATGGATGCATCGTATCTCCATACCTTTTCACTCTGTATGGAGAACAGATAATCTGGGAGGCTGGGCTTTATTAGGAGGAGTGTGGCATCAGGATTGAAGGAAGACGCATAAACAGCCTGCATTATGCAGATGACACAACCTTGCTTGCTGAAACTGACACAGACTTGAGGCATCTGCTGCAAAAAGTCAAGGATTGCAGCCTTCAATATGAATTGAAGTTCAACATCAAAAAGACAAAGATTCTCACCACTGAGCTAATTGGCAGCATCATGTTGGATGTTGAAGATATTGAGATTGTTAACAGCTTTCGTTTGCTTGACTCCATAGTCAACACTCTTGTCACCAGCAACCAGGAAATCAAAAGATGAATTGGGTAAATCTGCTGTCAGGGACTTCTCCAGGGTACTGAAGAACAATGATGTCAGTCTAGTAGCTAAGGTGTGCCTGATCCTGGCTATTGTCTTCACAGTTACTTGCTATGATGCATCAGAGAGCTGGACAATAAATAAGGACAATAGAAGAAGAATGGATACCATTGAGTTGTTGTACTGGAGAATAATATTGAGCATACCATGGTCTGCCAAAAGAACAAACAAATCTGTCATGGAAAGAGTGAAATCGGGCTGCTCCTTCGAGGCAAGGATTTTGAAGCTCCATCTCACATACTTTGGGCATGTTGCCAGGAGGAGCCAGTCCTTTGAGAATGAGATCATGCTTGGAAGGGTGGAAGGACAGTGCAAGAGAGGAAGACGTTGGATGAAGCGGATTGATTCAGTAACTGGGGAAATGGGGGTAGGTGTGTTACAGACAACAAAATAAAGGAGAGTTCAGAACTGTTGTACAAACAGTTGCTATGAGTCGCAAGTGACGTGACGGCACATAACAACAACATCTTTGAAATGGGGAATTCTGGTGACTTAGCAGTAGGGAACTGCACTGGTAACCAAAGTCACACTGTTGGAATCCACCAGCTGCTCCATGGGAGAAAGACGAGCATTCTTCTCCTGTGCCTCAGAAAACCCACTGAAGGGTCAGCTGTGAGTTGGTTTAATGGCATATAAGGTCAGCAACAACTTTGAAATTATAGGAGCACATTTACCATCATAAAGTTATTGTACAATTTTTCTCCATCTTGTATTTAGAAGTTGAATGCATTTTATTGAGAAATGAATTTTGAACTATGCCACACTGGTTTCAATATTTTCTAGAACACTTAAGAGATAGAATCTTTTAAGTTGAAAATATGACAACAATATGTTTAATAAAGACAGATAGATGGTGTAGAATGAACCTATTTTAAAGTTATGCCTAATGAAATTATTGCCTTTTTCTTCAGGAAAAAGATGCCTGCTTTCTGCTGCATATGTGGACAGCCAGAAATGGGAAGCAAGAGAAAAAGAACAGTGTCACCTGGGTAGGTACTTGTTGGGCTCTAATACATGTGCTATGTAAATCAACATAGTGTGTATATAAGATGTTTTTTTATGAAGATTTACTCTAGATAAGCACATTCGGTTTTTAAAAGAATTAGATGGTTGTTTTACCCATGACAGAATGTGCAAAGTTTTGCTATTGCACTGCCAAAACAGAGGTACACAGTTCAAATCCCCCAGCTCCTCTGAAGAAGAAAGGTGGACAGTCAGTCAAATCCTGTGCAATTTACTGCCCCTGAAAACCTGCTGGATTTCCAGCTAGGGGTCTGTTCTGACTTGACAGCGCATACAACAGCCCTCCTGTAGTTATAGAAGCAGTACTTTCTTCTTTCTTGCCTTTCATATCATGTACAATTGATTCTCATTATCTGCAACAATGATGTTCTATAAAGTTTCTGTAAGGGTTCAACCAGCAAATGCTAAACAATTGTTCCTAGGGCAAATAAGAATCAGGTTCTGTGAGAGACTGGTCACATTTTCATCATCTAATAAATACTTAAGCTTGTTTTTTGTACGTTCCTGTTTGATAAAGAATACTATAAAACAAAAAACAAAACAGTTCATTTTCATGAAGTTAAAACCTACCCATACCGACCTTCCCAGGTTTTCAGAGGCTGAAGATTGCACGGGAGGAGATTGCCTATTGTTTTATAATCTCTCATAAGCCGTTAAGAGAAGATAGCTAAAATGTTTACGAGCGGTAGTGTCATAGTCAGTACTTTACTAGTTGTATAAGTCATTTTACAAAGATACTGCAACATTTTTTTTTTAAAAAAAAGCAACCAGACAAAGAGAAATCACTGATTTTATAAGCAGTTTGTGAAGATGTACAGACTTTTGGTACTGCCCCCCTTTAACAGATATAACATCATTGGGACAGTGATAAAGTAAGTAGATTGGTGATAGTTTTATGGGCTGATGTAACTTTTGGATCCCTTTCAGTACTGATCTAATATTTTGTACTCACCTCTGATTTCTAAAATTTTCCCTCAGGTTTTTTCTTACTGCAGGTTTCTTTTGTTTTGATTTGGTTTATTTCACATAAGAATAAAGTCTCTTGTATTTATGAATTTTCTTTATTAAGTTTATGGTACATTCCTTTATGGCTATGTATAAGGCTACCATGGTAGTAGTGAGGTAGGTTGTTCAAAGCAGTAATGTGATTGCAAAAGCAAACACACTGTTCACTATTTATGAACCCTGGGATGATGTGTGAGCAGAGGCCAAACAAAGCAGGATTGTAAAGGATCTGAAGATACTGTTGTTAAATGCCATGAAGTGGACTATAACTACAGCCGTCCTATGAATAACAGCTCTGAGCCTTGCCCTATCCTGCACTATCCTCACCATCTCTGATACGGTCAAGGCCACTGTTACAGCCACTGTGTCAGTCCATCTTGTTGAAGGTTTCCTCTTCTGACCTTTCCCAGCATGATGCCTCTTTTCAAGGACTAGCTTCAAATTCACTAGCTGCTCATGGAAGAAAGATGGGCAGTCTTCTCCCATGTGATTTAAACATGAAGACCCGCTGAAGGGTGAGTTACTGATTAGTTCCAACTCAATGATACTCATCAGCAACAGCCTCTCCTTACAGCTTGCTCAAAGTATGTAAGATGAAGTTTCACCAATCTTTGTTTCTAAGTAGTACCTTGGTTGCACTCAGTGGGTAAAACCCCATTACACAGTGGGTCAAAACCCATTGTATGAGTCGATTTCGTCTGTTTATAGAAGTAGACTTTCACATCCTCATTATCCCCAACATAGTTGAGCCTGTTGCTAAAGGCATCGTGTCACTCCAACTCATTGGGGGTCTTCCTCTCCTTTACTGACACTCATCTTTGCTCATTTTGAGTAACTTCCTATCTGAGCTCTATGTCTAATACTTTAACTACCGACATTCCTCTGTTCATAAGGTTTTCAGAGGCCTATTGCTTTGGAAGTAGATGGCCAAGCCTTCTCCCTAGTCTGTCTCAATCAATCTAGAAGTTCTGTTGCAACCTCTCCATCATAGGTGACCCTTCTAGTACCTGTGGCACTGATGGCACAGATTCTAACATCAGAGCACCCCACAATCTACATTAGTACAACAGACTGACTGAAAAATAAAAAGCCTATACACTAGGTCCTTTTTAATCAGACTCAGTAAATTCCTTATGGAGAAGTGCTCGGGTACTAACAGAAAGATCAGTGGTTCAGCCTCACCAGCCACTGATAAACGCTTTACCCAGATTCACCTATACCTCATCATTTATCAACTCTTGTTACCTGATATTTCACAGTTATAACAAATAGTAAAAATTCTACTAAACAGCCATTTTGTGCATCAGTGATGGCTGTCTGGTTCAAAATCAAGAAGGGGGGTCCGTCAAGGATGCGTTTTGTCTCCATACCTTTCCAGTCTGTATGCAAAACAGATCATGCGAGACGCTGGGCTGTACGAGGAGGAATGTGGCATCAGGATTGGTGGAAGAATCATCAACAACCTGCATTATGCGGATGACACAACCTGCTTGCTAAAACAAGGAGAAGGACCTGAAGTACTTGCTGCAGAAGGTCAAGGACTGCAGCCTTCAATATGGATTGAAGCTCAAAATCAAGAAGACAAAGAGTCTCACCACTGGGCCATTTGGCAGCATCAGTATGGATTGTGAAGAGATTGAGATAGTTAACAGTTTTAGATTGCTTGGCTTCACAGTCAACACTCTTGGTACTAGCAGCCAGGGAATCAAGAGTTGAATTGTATTGGGGAAGTCAGCTGTGAGGGACCTCTCAAGAGTACTGAAGAGCAACGACATCAGTTTGAAGACTAAGGTGCGCCTGATCCGGGCTATAGTCTTTACAGTTACATGCTATGCATCGGAGAGTTGGACAGTGACTAGGGATAATAGAAAGGGAATTGATGCCTTTGAGCTGTGGTGCTGGAGAAGAGTGGTGAATATACAATGGACTGCTAGGAGAGCAAACAAATTTGTCCTGGAGAGGGTGAATCCGGGCTGCTCCTTGGAGGCAAAGATTCTGAAGCATCGTCTGACATACTTTGGGCATGTTGCAAGGAGGGACTGGTCCTTGGAGAAGGACATCATGTTTGCGAGAGTGGAGGGACAGTGCAGGAGAGGAAGACCCTCAATGAGATGGATTGATTCTGTGATTGGGGTAGTAGGAATGAGTCTGTTTGAGGTGAGGTTGGCACCGGATAGAGCAGCATGTAGGGCTCTTGTACATAGGGTCACTATGAGTCGCAAGTGACTCTATGGCACATAACAACAACAACAACATCTGGCGGTAATGAATGGTGAAGTGTGAGGTGAAAACAACACTGGGTGTGATGATCAAGGTTATATAACAGCTTGACTGGACCATGATTCTCAGTGGCTTGGCAGTTATGTAATGATGTGATTTGATAATGATGTAGTTATCCTTCATTTTGTCATCTGATGTGCTTCTCTACCATTTTCACAGGATGTCAATATTAACATGTGATTGAGTCTTTGTTACTTAAGTCATTATGTAAGGAGTCAGTGTATCATTACCATTTTGACCCATGTGTTTTTACTTTGTTTTCTCTCTGTGCACACCCACACTTTACCCAATCTAGAGTTTGTTTTGTACATACTGTTCCTTACTATTTCCAAGTCTTTTACCCAAGATAAGCATATATTGTTAAATAGCTGCAGAATAGTATCAACTCAAGTGAATTTAGCAATATAGCATATTATCCCAATGTTGTCATTTGACCTAATGATGGCTTTATAGTAATCTTTATAGTAATTTTCCTTTCCAATGCAGATTTCCATTGAGAACCAAAAAATACTCCCAGAAATTTCAAATATTCACCTAAAGATTGATACTGCCTCTTTTGGGGAAACCACCAGCCTAGTGATGATACCAACATGGACTGAGATAACATGGCAAGACTATTCTGCTGTGCCATATATGAATTATAAACAGTACCATTGAAGTATCAGTTGCTGTCAATTTGATTGTGACTTGTGGTGACTCCATGTGCATCAGAGAAGAGCTCTGGCTTGGTTTTCTGCCAATCCTGTTTTTGAGGCACCTCTTGCGAGACTTGACTTTTAACCTCTCAGTAGACAACTGAACTCAGTAAGCATTTGCCCCACAGATGACGGAATAATGACTTGCCTAAACCTTATCGTTAATATTTTCCTGGCCATATAGGGAAATTAGGAAACAATGATACTGTTCTATCTGGCACTTCTGTATTGCATAAAGTCTTATGTTAGCATCAGATCTCTGTTTATGAGAACCTAGGAGGATAGAAGGAGAATTGATGCCTTTGAGCTGTGGTGCTGGAGAAGAGTATTGAGAATACCATGGACTGCTAGGAAAACAAACAGATTTGTCCTGGAAAGGGTTAAACCGGGTGGCTCCTTGGAGGCAAGGATTCTGAGGCTCCGTCTAACATACTTTGGACATGTTGTGAGGAGAGACCGGTTCTTGGAGAGGGACATCATGTTTGGGAGGGTGGAGGGACGGCGCAGGAGAGGAAGGCCCTCTATGAGGTGGATTGATTCGGTGACTGGGATAATTGGAATGGGAGTGTCAGAGACAGTGCGATTGGCACAGGACAGAATGGAGTTTAGGGCTGTTGTACATAGGGTCGCTATGAGTCGCAAGCGACTCGATGGCACATAACAACAACAACAACAGTAGTTAAGGATAGTTGAATGACTACCCATTCATACTGTTTGCTGAAGAAAGTGCGTAATATTCTTTTTTAAAATTTTTATTGTGATTTTTATGAAAGTTTGTAAATAGAGTTGGATTTTTATTCATCATTGTTGCACATTTTCCTCTCTACCCCACCCCCCAATTCAATTTTTTTTAAAAATCAGCATAATCCTCACTCTGCTCTACACAAGTATCATGGCAGTTATTGTCTCATTTTTTTTCCATCAAGACTAGCATACTTTCATCAATTACAGCCCATAGCAACCCTATGAACAATAGATGCTGGGAA